ATTTAGGGTTAAAAAAACATCCTGATTGTGCATATTTCCACGAGACGCGAAAATCAGACAATCGTGGACAAAAGTCCTTGGGACACTTACGTAATGTAATGGATTATCTGTGTTTTAGAACTGAAGTATGGAGAAAACGCTGCTATATCCTTTATAAACGGGTTGCTGTCCCCCCTCCCCCCCAACACAATGTTGAAAATCAGCTGAAATTGCATGTACTAGTTTTCAACATTGTATGGGGGTGGGGGGCGAGGTTAGGCAGGTGAAGTTGTATTCACGCCTGGCCTGTACGCAAAAGCGCCAAAAGTGCAAATTTGTCTCAAGACTTTTGTCCATGATTGTAGTTCAGCTGAATTTTGCTAACCTATACTAGAGTAAACTCCCCAAATCCCCCCATCTATCGACACTGTTGTGGCTGATTTGCGTAAATTTAAACTTGCTGATTTGATTTTTTTATATTTTTGAGTGGCAATTCCTGGTGTCCTTACTCTAGATGAAATCTTCAACCAACCAGTCAGTTTTGTGAAAAATGATACCCTATTCTAGACCCAAATGCTCTGATTTATATACCCTATCCTAGAGTAAACTGCTTGAAAACCATACCCTTTACAGCAGCACATACCTATAAAGCCCACATATGGCAGTGCCCTCCCCCCTCCCCGGGGGTATTACTTGGCCTAAAACATGACAGAAATAAGATCATTTTAGAAGTTATGTTATGATTCAATATTCCTTGGTACAATTTGCTGTTTGTTTCATACAACTTACATTGTTAATAACAAAAATAACTATACACAGAACAAAGGAACAGCCAAAGCGTAGCAAGGATCAAATTAAACATCAACATTAACATAGGCACACTGCAACCAGACTGAGTGCTTTCCCTTGAAAATTGGAGAATTTGGAGTGGTGTTACATTTACATGGTCTGCTGATCAACACTATGCATACCATGAGGATTAGCGCTGTATATCTGAAATAACCCATGTATACCCACCAGATCTCAAACCCAAGCGTGTCTCATACCTGCAGGTCACATGCCCTTCTGAAAATTGGAGTTATTTCAGCCTTAACTGACACACTTTTTGAAAAACATCTTAACTCAAGCTATTCTATTCCGAAAACCGTCGTATCCACCGAAACCAAGTGCTTCAGAAATAGAGCAAAATGGTTCGTTTCATTGACTCTTTCATCTCAAACAAATCATTTAGCCAAAGTTTTCTTCATGATCCATAAGAGGTCGAAATTTGGCTATTTTGTAATCATCAAACGCCACCAAGCTCACGTTTCTTGATAACACTCTCTCTCGAACGACGATTAATTAAATATTATTTCAACAAAATACACTCACTCTTATAAATTTCCTGGGGTTTCAACGACGACTGCCAAAATGTCGACTTTCTTTACTTTTCCCGCGAAATACTTCCCGGCATTCTACAAACTCGCTGTTACAGGAAAGTATGAGTCGATAACATTGGTCAAAGTTTTAAGAATCTGTCCAATAAAAACCTTCGTTATATAGGAGGTCTTAAAAAAAGGACTATTTGAGCCGCTTTATTTTTGCAGCGGATGACAGAGTATGCGCAGAAATAACGTTGACTCCTCGTTGGACGTTTCCAATCTTGTTCCGAATTCGCCCCTAGTGTTTGTGTCGAATGCCGCGGTAGTCTTTCCCTCTGTTTTTCTTGGTAAGGATTTACACGTTTTGCCGTTTTAAGGCCTGTGATACTTATTTTTCTCACCTATTCGGCAAGCCTCTGATTAACGACTAACCTTGCTGGAGACAAGGATCAAGGTTTTGTTCCGTGCCTACTTTGATTAAGTTGTCTGGAACGTAGATCATCATCAACACCAGACACATCTTTTGTTACTGGTTTCCATTGCAGTAATTGCAAGTATTTTAAACCAGCTGACGTCGTAGATTTGGAGCAAGGCTTGAGTCAAAAACATGAGCAGCTCGGAAGAAGTGTCGTGGATTTCTTGGTTTTGTGGTCTTCGTGGAAACGAGTTTTTTTGTGAGGTAAGAAACTAATATATTTAAGCTTACTTTTCTTAAAAGCCGCCAAATCGAGATCGATGTATTTAAAACAAAAAGTGAAGTAACGTCACTATAGCCAGAAACATTTCGAACTGTGGTGATGTTATTTAGAAAATCACTTGTTTACCACACTTCTAACTTCAAGGCTCAATGCAGACCAATCAAATCGTCTTGTCATGGCGAGCATTGCATGTACAGGCGGTTTCAAGTTAGCTTGTCACTCACCTATTTAGTTTGCTGCAAAAGCGTGAATTCCCACTGTCTTGTTTATAATGAATATCAATGGTTACTTTAGACTACTGATAATTATTTATTATTTCCATTCGTTCACTCTAGGTAAGTGATAAAACTATTATTCACCAGTTCGTGACACCTTGCTCAATCACTCATCTTATGAAACATGCATTTTTATACATACTTGGATGGGTTCACAACCTTGTTGTTTTGGTGTGTATAGATGGCTCCTTTCTCTTTGTTTTTGTAATTTTATTTTATTTTTGGCTGGCAAATTTGATCAGTTGATGCTTATCAAAAAGCCCTTTATTTACATTTGTTTGATCACAGCAGTTATTTTTTACACAGCCATAACACTTCCTCCTAACATCCCTTGCTGGTGTTCTGGGTAACACGTTTCAATGAGAATACTGCTAAGCTATGTCAGATTGAGTCTTGTCTCCATGAACTGGTCCATTTGAGGCAGTTCAGTTCAGTATTACCTATGGGCACAAACTGTGCAGTAATGAGAACAGGGTCAAGAACATTTCTTTCTTTTTTCCTTTCAGCACTGGTCCTTTTGAGGCAGTTTTAGTGCAGATGTATGGTCCTGTAATAATTCAGTCAAAAAAAACTTTTTTTTAATTTACCAGGTTGATGAAGACTACATTCAAGACAAGTTTAATTTAACAGGATTAAATGAACAAGTGCCCCATTACAGGCAGGCCTTGGATATGATATTAGATATGGAGCCAGGTGAGGGGATATTCTGATGTTTTATCCAATTGAAATAACCAAAACAATGCTTCAGGGAACGGTCAGATCATGTCTGAATAGGTTAAAACTTAACTGACTGGGAGCTGACTCACATAGACTTGGTTTCAAGGTAGGCAGATGTTCATTAGTACAATCGTAATGTATTATCTTGTCAACAGATGATGAACTAGAGGATAATCCCAATCAGAGTGATTTGATTGAACAAGCAGCTGAAATGTTATATGGTCTGATTCATGCTCGTTACATATTAACCAACAGAGGGCTTGCACAAATGGTAAGGTTAAAGATTAAAGCACTTTTTGTAGCATATATATGGGTTATTGACCAAGCATGAGGTCAAGATGGCTGGATATTATACCAAGACAGAGTCGAGGTTTATAAAACATGCAAGAAGGAACAAGGCTAATATCCAGTCATCTTGACCTGTGAATAAAGGATTTATTACATGGAAGAAGAACACTATTTTCTTGAGGAACACAGCGGTTAATCCCGAGTGGGCAAGATAGCACCATCTTGCCCACTTGGGTAGCCTTTCACAATACAGGATTTCGTGCATCTTGCCTGCCCACGGAGCTAGCCATATATTAATTTATTTACCATCATTGTTTGGTAGTTTCATATGTAGACCATCTTCTTTGGTGGAATTTTCCCTAATTTTTCATAGTCTTTTGTAAATGTGCAAATTTGATTAGGTTTGAATGTTTCAAATTGTTTCAAAATGGGACCAGGAGCTTTATGTTTACTGTAAGCTGATATTTGGTAAGGCCTAGGAGTGCAGCACTTGCTAAAGTACCATTATAGGCTTGTAAGTAGGAAATTCATGTAATACATGTACTACAGATTTATAGATAATCATGAATGTACTGAACTTTTAACAAAGCAGGAATCTTAGCTCTTATTCTAACTGATTTCCTTCCAGCTTGAAAAATATCAGAATGGTGATTTTGGACACTGTTGTCGAGTTTACTGTGAAAATCAAGCAGTCTTACCAATCGGTAAGTCTGCACCTGAAGAGGCTGAATCTTTCTGACCTACAGTAATATCCTATACAGCCCTCAGTGCTAAGAGTAGGGACAGTTCCTCTCCTCCTGTCTGTATCTGTCACTTTACACCTCAGCTACAGGGTTTAAATAGTCATCGTCCTAAATTACACTTTATGTTGTAGTGGAATCAATCAGGGAAAGATGTACGTCCTGACTCCTTCACAAGTTATATAACTCAACAATGCACAAGGAACATTGAAGTTCGTTGCCTTTATCAAAAACTCAGAACACTTGTTGCACACTTGTTGTACACACATGACATAGGTCAAGCTCTGACATAGATCAATTCCTAGAACTTGTTATTGATTTCTGAAACAATGCAACAAAACGGTAAACTTGTACCCTTATACTTTTTGTGGTACAACGACCTCATACTGTCATACCCTCAGTAAACTCATGCTCAGCATTTCTTACCATCAACAGGTTTGTCTGATGTACCTGGAGAGGCCATGGTAAAACTATACTGTCCAAAATGTATGGATGTTTACACACCCAAGTCATCTCGGCATCACCATACAGATGGAGCATACTTTGGCACAGGTTTCCCTCACATGCTGTTTATGGTCCACCCAGAGTACAGACCAAAAAGACCTAACAACCAATTTGTACCAAGGTATTGTGAGTTAGGATATGAGTGGCCCTGTAAAATATTCCATGGACAGCACTTCCAACAATGAAACCTTAACAAACCACAGGGACTTTCATTGGGACCCACTTCCCCAGATTTTTCAAAGTTTTTTTTTTTTCTTAGAGGAGGGGAGGTGGAGGAGGGGCAGGGGGTGCAAGACAAAGATGCTGCTTTCACTGATCAATAGTGACATACCAGAAGATACAACCCCTGGTGACAAAACATGGCAACATCCTCAAATAAACTTGTCAATTTTTCAAAGCATATCTGTCATTCAATTATTGCTTTCTTCTGTTTTGCCATGTGGTTGCAAAGAACGGTCATTTTCATGCAACTTATCAAACATGAAACATCAAACACTCCAGGCAACAAGGAGAGAGTGGAAAAGCAATGCACAGCAAAGTGTTTTTGGAAAACTTTGAGATCTTTGGAAATGTGATGCGACACTGTCCCCAATGTTGGATATATCCTCTCAAGTCAAAATAGAATCTCCCCTTCAAATAATAATATTTATTGTTGTGAAAATTGGTATAGAGAGTTTGAACAGAAATGCAGTTTGCCAGCTTACAAGCTCTACTGAGTCACCTAATTTACTACTCTATTATACTTTGTTCACAGATTATTTGGATTCAAAATTTCACCCATGGCTTACCAGATCCAGGAACGAGCCGCGGCCCAAAGAGGACGGTCGGCATCTGCCCGTCCACGATCAACCAAACCACACTACAAATAAGAGCAATTTATTTTTCTATCTTGCTTGTTTGTTTTAGTTTTTGTTTAGTGCTCTGCCCAATTCTCAAATACCTTAATACACAACACATCGGAAAATCATTATTTGATAGACGACTTTCTTGCTATGTTATCAACTGTTCAAAAGTGTAGGTAACCTAATAGAGATAGCGATAACCTTGTATGACGATTTTTAATCTGTATGGCTCTTCTAGATGGAGACACATCACACAATGCAGCAAAACATGTATAACTGCCTGCCGTGACTGTGCTGTACTCCATCACTATTCCCCATCCCTCCCCTCCCAGGGATCTAATGGAGGATTTTAGTAGATCAATTTTAAGGTGCACGTAACTGTGCTGTTGAGCAATTTTTACTGGCAGTGAATTGTAGTGATCTTCATCAAATTCTAATGCAAGGTTTCCATATAACTTTGGTATTGTAATAATTAATATGCAAAAAAAGTGTATGTACAGCTTCAAAAGAATTCTTTGATCGATAAAAAAAAATAGAGCAAACAAGCTATGTATATATGTAACTTGGGGAGTTGCAGATTTCTTCTTAGTACAGTTTCAACAAACACAAAGCACAATTATTAAGTAAAAGTTATTGTTGTGCATACTGCATGAAAGAAATAAAGTTATTTGTTTTTTGTTGTCTTGACATGTTGGAAGAGATATTAAGAGTTGTGTCTTCATGCAGTTTCATTCTGGCCTGGTTTTCATCCGCTCCACTCTACCCGGACTTCCCCTCATGACCCTTCCGGATAACTGGTATCTTAACGTCTACAATGGTCCAACTAATGCCATTCTGTTTAGTGATCATGCCATTGACTGTGAAATCCTTCTAAGAAAATTAGGGTTATATGGTTTTAAAGGTAGAGCCTTACTGAGAGCTGACGCCAAGGATCTAGGCCATTTTGCTAATATAAATATTTCCTAGTTCCATCCCCTTGTGGGGGCAAGAAGTTATCACTCGGCCAAAAGTGGCCTCATTAATTCATTAAATAGGTCAAATTTTGCCAACACATGTGACTGGAGCTAGCACCAGCCCCTACAATGGAGAAATGGCTAAACTAACTGAAATCCTGTCTGAAATGCTCGACTGTACGCTGATACAAATGTCACCGTTGTTTCTCACCATCATGAAGAGCTGTTTTCAGCCATGGCTAGATGCTATTCGTGTTAGCCTTAACGTCACTCACTCACTCACTCACCCTTATCGTCCCAGCTGGGACATAAGGACACCATGACATTACTTCTCCTCTTCTCTTCTCTCTCCATCCCTAAGAATGGCTGCCCATTAACGATTTGTTCTTTGCTAGCCAAGAAAAATCGTGCAGAGCAACCTTTCAAAAGCGACTTGTAATCAATTTAGAAAGATATTCCTGGGAAATATTAACTTGACACTTTTATTACTCAAACGGCAAGCACCAAATATTAGGCAGACAGTTGTGCTGACAATTTCTTTTTTTATTGAAAGAGGTCCTATACAAGAAGCAGCGTAAGTTTTCTGTTTTGGATACTACATTGCATAATATTATCATACAAGAGATTCAGTCGGTACTTGGTCTTTTGTAACCGTCCGAGTGAAGATTTTTCAGTAACTGACGTTTAGGCAATACCTTGCGAGTCATCGTTTACCTTTTGCTGAAGTTGTCGAAACACTACACAGAAAACCTGACGCAAAGGTAAACCACTAATTTACAAAAGTTCTGAATTTTTGCTTTAAAAAAAATTCGGGTTTTCCTTTAACATTACTATTGATCTACTTTCATTAAAGCCCAAGTGACTCAGATGAAACAAACTCAATATACCAGTAATCATCTTGAAGCTTCTTGCTTTGGTTTGCCATTTCCATAATATGATACTGATCTTCATCTCAGTCAATAAATCTATAACTTGGAATCTAGAGAAAACAAAATTCTCCTTACACATAACGAATGCCAGGGGAGGACTCGCATATGAAAAGGTTGGGGATGCTCGCTTAGGGGTTTAAATCAAGCTTTATGGTCTCACTTTGGGTGTTCAGGACGAAACGCCAAAATTTTTCACTTTCAAAGTATCCTTTAGGATGCACTCGTGCAAATAACAAAAAAATAACACTCATTTCCGTTTTTACGCTCAATTTCCGCTGCTCTCTAGAGGCCGCTTTACTAGCGCGGGCTCCCTTCCCGAACAACGGCTGATAATCGATCCTATTCTGTTTTAAGTGATATCTTTTAGGCGTCAAATAAAGCTCAAGCTACGCCCGGATTGGTCTCCTTTAGGGGTTTAATTCAAATTTTCCAACGAGCAGCCCCGACCTTTACATAAGGGAACCCCTCCGGAAAGAATGATACAAAAAGAGGTATGTAGCTAGAGCAAGGCCATACATGTATACAGTGAAAAAACAAAAATGGTATATCTACACAAGTGACAGTGTGCCTGGCGAGACAATTCAGCTACTGTGGCCAAGCGGCCTACCAGTCTGTTTCACGATGATATAATAATCTGCTTTAGGCGCATTGTCAATTAAATAAATTAAATGCACTAAAACAATAAAAGTAATTCCTCTAATCAGTTGTTCCCGATGGATATTATAAAAAAAGTTAAGACTTCTCACTGCACATTTCATGCAACAACATGCAAACGCTGAAGTTTAAAACTTAAACCACGCTGCCGTCAATTTTAATTACAATGCCCTTTAGATTGAGCAAACTTTGTTCCTGGGACGCCCACCAAGATAAATGACGGCAACGTTAGACACCATACGGGGTTTACATGGAAGTGCTTGTTACTAAAAGGTGTAGGAATCGAATGTCAGTTTCACGCAATCTTATTTTTTGTTTGAAGAGTTTAAGAATTTACCCTGCATACAACATGCATACAAAGTTTTCAGACTTGGATTTTCAAAAAGATTCAAAATCTAAGAAATCACTTAGCAGAAATTCTGTTAAATAGTTTTTCAACTGTTTTTTTTCCTCCAGTTGAGGTCTTGGCATTTTCCTTGTCAGTTTGTCCAGTCAGGCTTGTTTTCATGCTTTACTTTGGGCTGCTTCTTTCCTTGTTGCGTCTTGTAGCAGTGACGTATCTACTTCTTCTGCTGGCAGTTGAACATATCGTACTACTGATCCTCTGATGAAGCAATTCTTCACAGATAACTAGAAACGAAAAAAGAAAATCAAACCAACTTAAACATGGATAGAGTTTTTCAGAGACAGTATGCACTATAACATACGCTAAAACCTATCAATCACTGTGCTCTTAAGCTATACATGCACATAGTTCAAAATTCTTTTATTATTAGTGGAAGATAACACTGAATCCTGTTCCAGTCTTCTTTTCTCCAGGGCACCGTTTGTTTTTCTTTCATCTGTACCTGAACTTTTGTGTTTCCCCCCAAAAAGCTGACAGCCAGGAACTGGCTACTAATATTATTCCAGGTGCATGCGTTGGATATGAGATGACAGAGAGCCAACAAGGCGCCCCAAGATATGGAAAACAAACTAAAATAAAAACACCCCCCAAAATAACACCATGATGGCTAAGCCAGTGAGCAGACCAATTTTGATATATTTAAATTCAGCCTAATAATAGAGCTCTGGGGAATAACTACAGAGTTTGTGGGGTTTATTCCCCAGAGCCTTGTGCTGAGGTCTATTGTTTTAGGCTGAATTTTAAGATCAAAATTGGTCTATTGATTCATCCAGTGATCCAGTTTTTAATAAAATAAGAATAATCAATTTATTAAACCCTACCATATGAGGATACTTGTCTGGATCTGTGAGGCTTATATCTGTTAACTTGATGTTCAGAAACTATGAAAAAATATTACAATAAATGACAAAAAAATTAAATTAAATTAAAAAGGCACTAAGTTAATATGGAGCAGTTTCACTCACATGGCCTGCAGTCACGCAAATTCATTTTAGGAAAGAAAGCAAAGAAAGTGTTTACACAATAATAATAATAGTACACTTGAAAAAAAATCACTTAGTTCTGACTGGCCCGAAAAGAGTGAAACACCACAGCACAGATTACAACTAAGATAACCGAAGTTAGTGCAAAGACACTCAAAGACTACGGACAGTCATCCGAGGTATTTAAAGGGTGGTGAAAATTCATCCAAGGCCTTCCAAAGATAGGTGAAGGCAATTAGACATTTCTGGACATTTCCAAGGATCACTCGAACCCTTCTGAAGATCAAAAAATATCACCCTATCCCTGCAGAAGATTAACAAAGATGATGAGACAAATCATAAAACTAAGACATTTTCAGTCAGCAAGAAGAGATCTGCAGTTGTCTCTACTGCTTATCTCCATCATGTAAGGGCCCTGCCTTGTACTGCCAATAAACAATGCCATCATGAATGTGATCTTATTTTGTTTATTTTTTTTTATGCAGGGCATGCAGTACTTACTTGATCAACGGAGTCCAATGTCCCATGCACACTGTTAAGAAATGAACAAGATCAATTTTAATCAACAACACACCACATTTCCTAATAATTATTTACATACAAAATTAATAAATTATGAACATACTGAACAGATACGAAGAGACATTTTAATTCTGAGATGATCAAAAGTTAGCCAGCAATTGTTAAATTATGAGCAGTAAACTGGCAGAAAGTTGTATTTCTTATGAAATGTTGTGGCTCAATAGAAATCTAAAATTGAGCTGGGAATTAGAAGTGGCATATCCATGGAGTTGCAATTCCTTCACTGCTTTCACATTGAAATGTAATTTGGAAAAATAGTGTTCAATATGTCCTAATGTTTGTTATTTATCCACGGGTGGCACAAACTCAACATCCGAGTGTTGATTCACACATTTAATAGACTTTCTATGGAAAATTCCCTTTACTGGTCCTAAATATACTATAATCAAGCATAAAAATAAACTTATATAAATTCTGAGCATAAATTGCGTCAATTTATGACAGGTTTGTAGTTTTATTTATTTTGTCTTTTTTTTTCGATTTTCTTAGTCTTCATTCTCCTCTCAACTGATTCATAAAACAAAGCATGGACGGTGATTCTAAGTGACCTTGTCCCACATATCGCTTTTGCTTTACAAAGTACAGAATCGCCATTAGACTAGGAGTATTCCCTCTTTTGCTTAGTTAAGTGTGACCGTAAGTAAACCTCGAGAAACAAAATGCTCGCATGAAATTTTTTCCTTGGTTTTCTTATGCGTCACGGACAAGGGACTAAGTGGAAGAGGGACCACTCATAGTCTAAATCGCCATAAAAACACAACTGCCATATGGACAGATAAATTAACCATTGCATCAATTCATCAAGGCAACCATACTGAGCTAAGAATTTCAAATGCTATTCGGTTTTCTGTGATCTTTCCATGTGCTAGTCTTTTTTGGCATGATCACAGTCACGCTCCAACAGCCATTTGGAATTACATTTTGTACACCAAGAGTTGAAAATGCACATGTTACCTGTGACATTACATTACAAATGACGTTTATTTCTACATTTTAAAATAGCTTTATTTAAGCATATTTAGGACTAAAGGGAGTTTGCCTTGCAAAATCTATAACACATCAACAGTCATATACCAGCGAGTTTGCACAGCCTGTGGATAACAAACACTCTGATACACAATTGAAGAGAACCAAAAAATATATGTGTCAAAAGTAAATGCAAAAATCAAGAATAAGAAAAAAAAGTACTCAGTCTGCACGGTCTGCGGTCTGCAGTCTGCAGTCTGCATGTTCTGCATTTTGAGGTGACCGTTTTATAATGCAGCTCAGAAGCAAACTGCGATTGGTTTATAGTTTTAAACGTTTGCTAATACCCTTGACTTTAGCTGGTGTTACAAAGCAAGGTCTCAAATATTCCTACTATCATGCCGAATCTAATGAAATAGTATTGCTATCTGGTGAAAGTACAAAACTTCAGCTACAGTTGTTTTACAAATCAGACAAATTCACGTGGGACTGAATATAGAGTGCTGGCACACCTGAGGTCGTTCTTCAGCTCTACAATAACCTCTTTTCCAACCAAAGACTTGAAAAATGAGTAGAAAAGCTAGAAGAAAGAAAGTAACAACTGTAAAATTTCGCCAACAAACGTCCTACAAACGAAAAGCAAATGCTCACCATTTTGAAAGCTGAAAATATGGCGGTGTTTAAACCGCTGACCAGTTCTTCTTTCGTGGGAGCGTAGAGGTTTATGGGATACTGCATGGCACAAAGCTAGAAGAATTTCCAGACTGTACAAACGATTTTTGCTCAAAAATAGAAATTATATTCGTCCATTTTACAGACAGTATAAAAAAATGAATACTGAAAGACCTGTTCAACAATATTTTAGTCCTTATACATTCAATGGAGGGTAAGTAATGCTTGCATTTCGTAGTTTTATTTCAGTTGACATTGGGGTCCGCATGAGTCAGCACATGACTTGTAAGCCTTCAGATTTTCATTGTAGGGTTTTTTTCCCAAGCGGCAAGGAAATGCTTCTATTCTGTGATTAAAATTTTTTTTCTTGTCAACAGCGTATACCATGCAGTAGATAGAATGTAAGATTTGGCTATGAGTCATCATAAACGTTGTACTCTGTCTACTGTAAAGAATAACATCCCCTTTTCACTGTGATAAGTTTATATTTTTGAGGAGGTTATAGAACATTCTGATCCCTCAAATAGTTATCCATAAAACATCTCAGGAGAGGGATGAAATGCCATTTGTGATTAACTATACAGTGCGAGGACAGTGAATTGACTTTTTTAAACTGACAAAAGAAATAAGGCAAAGATGGCAAAAGTGAAAATATGCTTAACTACTGATACTTGATAAGTTTTCACATTGCGTCTTTTTTCCCTACTTCAAGGACTGTACTAGCTATTGCAGGAGAGGATTTTTCTGTCATTGCTTCAGACACGCGTTTGAGTCAGGGATTTGCCATTCACACCAGAGATAGCCCAAAGACTTACAAACTGTGAGTGAGACGTTTTTTTTTTGCAAGGTCAACTTTGCTTTATTTTGGTGAAGTGTTGGCTGTGAAATGCATCTAATAATAATGGCTTTTTACAGAGTATGGTAATTTATTAAATTTAAATGTGGTGAAAATTTCTTCTACAAATGTGACAGTTCAGGTATTGCTAATCTGTGTTGCTAATCTGTGTTGTTAATCTGTTGGAAAACTCCTTAGTTACACATGCTGTGGCGTGATTCTTGTCCCTACATTTTTCAGCTTAGTTTTATTGCAAAAACTGTGTATGAACTGTAGAAGTAGATTGTGATGTTTCCTTAAGATGCTAACGTGAGATGCGTAAGTCAAAATAAGAGAAACAAACAATTTTGAAAATGCACTCTCTAAACATCAGTAACATGGACCACCATGATGCTGGACAAGACCATTTCACAATATGAACAATGCAGTAAATAACTGTGTGGGTGGTGAGGTGACCTAATCGAGCAGGGCTGATAGTCAAAGTTTATTTTATGTTTCGTGTTTTTCCATACTTTTAGAACCAATTCAACAGTTCTTGGATGTGCTGGGTTTCATGGTGATTGCCTCACGCTAACGAAGCTTATTACAGCAAGACTTCAGGTGCAGTGATAACTAGTTACACTGTGAATCTGAGTTGTGTTTTTGTTTTTCACAAGGCAATGTAACATCTGTCCTGTCAGTAACAACTAGGCTCAGATTCTTCTCATTTTACATTGTATTTTTCTTGCATTTGTGAAATACTAAATATTATGTGAACTAATTTTCATTATATGTTTGTTTTAGATGTATGAACATGAGCATGGGAGTAAAATGAGGTGTGGATATTTTAATGTCTGGAACTGCATGTGCATGTACTGGTGATAGTGATCAATCTTCATGTATTTGTTTCATCATTTGTTTCTATTGGCCTTGAAAAACCCCACTGGGAGAGTGGTCAATTAACATATTTTATTATTATTATTATTATCATTATCATTATCATTATCATTATCATTATTGTTATCGTTATCATTATCATTATCATTATTATTTTATCAGTAATGATGGTTAGCAGCATAGGACAGCAATGTGTGCAAAGAACTATGGCTATGTTCTAGATCAATATTACTCTTGGTACAATTTTTGTTTCCTTTGTTTCACATATATTTAACAATTATTAGATTATGAGCTCGAAATTTCTATCATGTAATAGTTGATGAGGGCACAACCCTCATCAACTGTCTTGCACAGAAAGAGAAAATAATCCAATTGTTTTAGTATAAACCTACTAGTTGTTCAAAACTGTATCAAAATCCTCTTCACAGATACTTCGAAAAGTACGCCAAGTTGTTTCAACAACCACACACTGCTAGGCTGCTTGCTATCTACAATGGACTGGATAGTGAGTAGTGGGTAGTGTAGCCAATAAGATGAATAGCAAAGTCAATAAGAGAATGACATACACCATACACCATACACCATAGCAAAGGAAAATACCAGTTTGTGCAAAGGGCAAAATTGGACCTTTACAGCTACATTAATTACTCTCTGTAATAATTAGCCTTTAGTGCATTATTGAGGGTACGAATTTCATTTTATTTCACTTATCAACTATTTTATGCACTTCTGTTCTAGCTGTCCTGCTATTGCTCAGATGTTGTCAACTGTTTTGTACTATCGACGCTTTTTCCCATACTATACATACAATATCTTGGCTGGGTTGGATAATGAAGGTAACATTCTACTGCTTTTATGTAGTGTTTATTTTCTTTTGAATGCCTCATGCATTTCAACTGGCAGAAGTGTACAGAAGTGCTTAGGCAAGGTTAAACAAAAAGACAACAGTCTCCCTTGATTAGATGCATCTGTTGGAGCAAAATACTTTGTAAGTGTTGGGCAATATCGTTGAGAGTAAATCTAATGCCATTGAATACCCAACATTATTATATGGCAAGGTAGTCTTGAGGTAAATCAGAGTGTTCTGATTGGTTCTCTCTTGGTTGGGATTTTGCCATACGGACTGTTGCCATGGAAATGGTCATAAGCTGTGTATTTTTTGTTTTCGAAACACGGCAAATTCAAAACAAGCATAGCCCGAGTGCCATATAATAAACTACTTACTAACCTAGCTAGCTCGAGCCGTACTGGGGAATATTGGCCCTCAGTCATTTTTGTACAGACCAAGCACAGCAAGGTTCCTACAAAAACGACCGAGGGCCAATATTCCCCGATACGGCCCTCGCACTCGGTTAGTAAGAGGTTATTACTTTGGTATCATTTTGGACTTATCTTGAAAAAGATTGGGAATCACTAAGGTATCATTTCAGATTTGAAATGGGTATAACAATTATTGCAGGACCAGAGATCATTTTAGGTGCTGTACTGGTCAAGCACTGAAAATTGCATATTCAATCTTCAGTTGTTCTGTGCATAAAACAATAATGTTGATTGTTTGTTGTATTCAGGTAAAGGATGTGTGTTTAGTTTTGACCCTGTGGGCTCTTATGAAAGAGAGACTTACAGAGCTGGTGGCTCAGCATCAGCCCTTCTACAACCACTACTTGACAATCAGGTAAACTGTATGATGATGTTCCTTGTGCATACTATAGTGATACATCTTGACATGGATGTTATGGTCTATTAGTGCAGAAGATGGCACGCTGTCTTTGATTAATGCAGAATGCAGCTAAAATCAGATAAAACTTAAACCAAGGGTTTAATATATATCATGTTATAATAAATAATATGAACTTGTATTTGTGTTAATCTGGTCACCTCTTATTGTTTTGAAGATTGGGTTTAAGAACCAACAAGGGGCAACAGAGGTTCCTTTGACTAAAGATAAAGCAGTTTTCCTGGTCAAAGATGTTTTTACTGCAGCTGCTGAGCGAGATATCTACACTGGGGATGCTGTTATTATCAGTGTTGTCACAAAAGATGGTGTGACAGAAGAAGCCTTCCCACTTAGAAGAGATTAAACTGAAGAGCGGCTTCTAAGTTTAACTTTGTAAACAAACTTGTCTGAATTTCTATGTGTTGCTGGAAGCATTCTAGATGCAATGTTTGTTATTTTACTCTGTGTCTTAATGGTTCTTGTGTTTGTAAGTTCAGCTGCTGCGCTGTTGGTCACCAGGCTCCCTCTTCATAGCATAGGAACAAAAGCTGCACACTAGAGAGAGGCAATTTGTTACTCGTGGAATCTTGAGTGCTTCTGTCTTTCTCAATGTATAATTTGTAGACAATAAAAATACTCTTCCGAAAAAGAGGCTGCCTTATTAACTGCGTAGCCTAAGGGAGTGTGGCTCGTCAAATGAGAAGCGTTTTTTTGTCTCGTATTTCCGGCTGAATTGGAAAGAAATTTTAAGAGGTGGGTATTGAGCTCCTTGAGTAATTTTATGACGAACTTGTTGCAAAGAGGTGGTGAAATGTGTAGGGAATAACAAAAGTAACCATTGAGGTAAGTTGGGTTTTACGTTAATTTTTTGTGAGGTTTTTGGAGTGTTTTACGTAAGCCAAAGATGTGTCTCATGACGTCACGAGTCACGGGGTGACGAGAAAACGATTAACGGGTAAAATCTAAGCGCTTTGGGTAAAATAGGCCCTTTTCGAGTCGCCTTTTGCCTGCGTCTAAACGAGTCTTCGTGCGAAACCATTCATATGAAAATGTGTTCCGCCTACAGGCGAATTTTCGCGCAAATCAGACTCGTTTTCGCACGAAGACTCGTTTTGAAACAGAGGCACACGTTAATTCGGAAATTGCCTACTTTCAAAGGGTTAAACTTGTTCTGTTTTACTTGCTAGGATTGTAGGAGTTTTCTCATCTTAAAGGATTTTTACTGAGTCCGTGCGTGTCTTGAAATAATAAGTGCTATCGAAAGACAAGTTCTGAAGTGGTGAAGCACTACTGAAGATAATAAAACTAAGGCCCCGAACACACTAATCCGTTCTGGTATGTAAACGCATATCTTGATGCGTTTTCGCCTATCGTCCACACTAAAACGACTGAAAACGCTGATGAAAACGGAGGCTTTCGAAAACGGGTTCAAAAGTGGGGCATTTTGAAAACGCTCCGTTTCTAGTGTGGATAGGTACGTGAAAACGGTGCCGAAAAGAGCATCGTATACTGTCGCTTCCATCAGCATTTTCTGGCGTTGGACGATAGGCGAAAACGCATCACAAAGTATGCGGATTAGCGGATTAGCGTGGACAGGTGAAAACGCAAGTGTGGCCGAAAATATTTTGCTTCGTTTTCGTTGAGACGAAGACGGATTAGTGTGGTCGGTCCTTTTTTTTACCAAAGAAAATTCGTTATCACCAAAATCACCGATTCACATTCATCTTGGCACAGCAGCGTATTCATTGCTAATAGAGATGATTTCTTCGTCCGGTGGTGAACAAAAACACTATGGAGAACAAAAATAAAAACTTCCATTTCATGTTTTAACTGTGCCTGCACCCCGGAAGGGGGTCTCCCGTTCAAAAAAAACGGGAATGCTCGTCGGAAATTTTAAAAAGAACCCCTAAGAAGTACCACGATCTTGTTTTTTGGGCGTGGTTTGAAATAGTTTTCACCCCTACTGAAGAGGTACTAATTTGAAAACAACACATTAACTGAAACCGAGGTACCAAATGAGGTACCAAAACTGCTTTTTTAATCCCTCAAAGGTATACGAGATCGTCTCCGGTTTCCGTGGATAACGCACGAGAAGTATAAAGATCTGCATGCAAAGGCTGCAAGAAATAGCATCACACATGATAAGCTTTGATAATCGCGTGTGTTTATTCATTTTTCCATGCAGATCTGACCGCACTTTCTCCAAACTCCATAGTGAGGTTCTTACTCAAGCATTTGACTTCACATGTTTTCGATGCACATGCACATATGTCAGTCGGTTTTTTTACCATTAGAATTGAGAGGTTAGAAGAAATCTCGATGTTCGCAAAATCTTTAAGGTGGGGTGGGGGAGTTTGTTTTAACGAACAGACGATTTTTCTAAAGAAGGGAGGTTTGAGAAGCTGGTGCTTAGAAGGACTGGACAGGACTGACAGAGTGAGTTTCTAAAAACACGCAAAACGCAACTGACCGTCATGGTGAACTGAAGGAGCAAGGTTGTGATTCAATCAGACCTGCTGTCGATTTACTGTCTTGGTTGCATGGTAAATACATTTTACATGATACCACACTGTGGTACAGGTATCGGTGACGATCTACCTTTAATAGGGACCTTACGCACATACGACCACGACGGCGAGGACGACGGCGAGGACGACGCCCAGTAAAATTGTTTCTATTTTACTTTGGAAATTCACATTTATTTGGAACTATCCGGTGTGTCTGTCGGTATTAAAACTTGCCCCTGCTGAATATGCTACAAATGCGTTCAGTTCCAAAAAGAAATACAAAAAATTAGCCGTTGTGGTTCACGTTCTCCAGACAACGCAGAATTTGGTCATTTCACGTGACTGTTTTGCAGAGGACAGCAAAGAAATGCACCAAGAATTATAATGCGCCTGCACAGGCAGTGTTTTGCTCATTAACCAAAAATATATGAATTCCTTCATTGAGCCAAATTTTGCTCGTTAGAAGCTGAGAATGCTCACTTGGACAGAATTATGGAGAAAAAGAAAGTTTTGGAGAAAATTTGTGCTTTTCTTTAAACCTTTTGTTTGGTGACGTTCTCGTTGCCGTTGCCGTCATGTTTTGCGTAAGGTCCCTAACATGTAAAACGATCTGACCGCTGTACAGTGTGCAAGCGAACGCACTTTTCGGTGCACTTTTGGGTCTTTTAGTGCACCGTCTTTTATTTCACCGGCACACTAGTAGTCTACTAGTGCACCGCACAGGCGCACTAGTTTTTAAATTTCTTTCCGTACACCGGTACACCATTGCACCGCACCGCACCGGTGCACTAGTGCACTGCACCGGTGCACTTTCAGTGCNTGAATGTGTACAATGGAATGAGGGTTCCATGAGCTAACAAACAAAAGATCTAGTCAAGAACTTGTTCAGGAGACGGGGAAAACATTACGCTGCAACAATAATTCATAGTGCTTTCCTAGGTGCTGGTGATCCTATCAAATCAGTAATAAAACGTATTCCAAGATGACATTTAGCTCGAACAGATGACTGACGCATAGATTACAAAATGTGCAAATTAAAATGAAACAAAGGCCACTGGCCTATTAAAATTGCGTTCAGTTTTCGTTAACTCCATCGATCGGGATCTCGAACTTCCTATGTTTCAAAGAAAATCGAACTCGTTGGAACTTTAAACAAGGTTCGCTACGATAGTTCACCAACGGTATTCTAGATGTAAAAAAAGAAATTTCGGTCCTGTTTCAAACTGGCAACCTGCAATTGAATGATCAACATTTGAGTGCCAAAAGGCTTTTGTAAGGAAAATAGACGAAGGGAATTTTATTTAACATTAATAAAATGCAGAATCGTAGTGTTAAAAATAGAGCTTTTAAGAGTTTCCACGAGAGGACCAGGCAGGAGGTGAAACGGTTCAAATGACCGATTTCGCTCAAACTTGGCACAAATGTTGGGTTTGATGAGTGAATGATTGTGGCGATTACGAGTAAAAATTCGGCGAAAAAAAGCACTTGAGACACCTCTTTCAAATATTTTCGGAGCAATATCTTGAGGCATTCTCTCGATATCGATATAAGTACTGCGGCCGAATATTCAACTCACAAGTTCCCTCAACTTATGTTTTCAGGTGTAAATAGAATGGAAACAAGAAAAACCTACTATGTAAACAGCAAGTCAGAACAGAAAAAATATTGAAGTCCCCAAATATCTTATGGCTTTTTTCTTTAGATCTTTACTGATTTCTTTCACTTTCCTTATTAGAATAATGTGTATGTGGTTTTCAGGGCCCATTGCAGATATTTGCCATCAATTAATTAAAGGCTATTCACAACACTACGAAATATGCACCTTACATAGGATGAAGCCACGGACAGAAATCAACTCGTCTAGTTGACATGAATATCTGTGCTTTTAGACTGATAGCGGTTGTGTCCTGGTGTACCGGTACACAGAGGGAATAACCATTGTACTCCTTTCTTTATAAGTTGGGTTTTACGTTAATTTTTTGTGAGGTTTTTGGAGTGTTTTACGTAAGCCAAAGATGTGTCTCATGACGTCACGAGTCACGGGGTGACGAGAAAACGATTAACGGGTAAAATCTAAGCGCTTTGGGTAAAATAGGCCCTTTTCGAGTCGCCTTTTGCCTGCGTCTAAACGAGTCTTCGTGCGAAACCATTCATATGAAAATGTGTTCCGCCTACAGGCGAATTTTCGCGCAAATCAGACTCGTTTTCGCACGAAGACTCGTTTTGAAACAGAGGCACACGTTAATTCGGAAATTGCCTACTTTCAAAGGGTTAAACTTGTTCTGTTTTACTTGCTAGGATTGTAGGAGTTTTCTCATCTTAAAGGATTTTTACTGAGTCCGTGCGTGTCTTGAAATAATAAGTGCTATCGAAAGACAAGTTCTGAAGTGGTGAAGCACTACTGAAGATAATAAAACTAAGGCCCCGAACACACTAATCCGTTCTGGTATGTAAACGCATATCTTGATGCGTTTTCGCCTATCGTCCACACTAAAACGACTGAAAACGCTGATGAAAACGGAGGCTTTCGAAAACGGGTTCAAAAGTGGGGCATTTTGAAAACGCTCCGTTTCTAGTGTGGATAGGTACGTGAAAACGGTGCCGAAAAGAGCATCGTATACTGTCGCTTCCATCAGCATTTTCTGGCGTTGGACGATAGGCGAAAACGCATCACAAAGTATGCGGATTAGCGGATTAGCGTGGACAGGTGAAAACGCAAGTGTGGCCGAAAATATTTTGCTTCGTTTTCGTTGAGACGAAGACGGATTAGTGTGGTCGGTCCTTTTTTTTACCAAAGAAAATTCGTTATCACCAAAATCACCGATTCACATTCATCTTGGCACAGCAGCGTATTCATTGCTAATAGAGATGATTTCTTCGTCCGGTGGTGAACAAAAACACTATGGAGAACAAAAATAAAAACTTCCATTTCATGTTTTAACTGTGCCTGCACCCCGGAAGGGGGTCTCCCGTTCAAAAAAAACGGGAATGCTCGTCGGAAATTTTAAAAAGAACCCCTAAGAAGTACCACGATCTTGTTTTTTGGGCGTGGTTTGAAATAGTTTTCACCCCTACTGAAGAGGTACTAATTTGAAAACAACACATTAACTGAAACCGAGGTACCAAATGAGGTACCAAAACTGCTTTTTTAATCCCTCAAAGGTATACGAGATCGTCTCCGGTTTCCGTGGATAACGCACGAGAAGTATAAAGATCTGCATGCAAAGGCTGCAAGAAATAGCATCACACATGATAAGCTTTGATAATCGCGTGTGTTTATTCATTTTTCCATGCAGATCTGACCGCACTTTCTCCAAACTCCATAGTGAGGTTCTTACTCAAGCATTTGACTTCACATGTTTTCGATGCACATGCACATATGTCAGTCGGTTTTTTTACCATTAGAATTGAGAGGTTAGAAGAAATCTCGATGTTCGCAAAATCTTTAAGGTGGGGTGGGGGAGTTTGTTTTAACGAACAGACGATTTTTCTAAAGAAGGGAGGTTTGAGAAGCTGGTGCTTAGAAGGACTGGACAGGACTGACAGAGTGAGTTTCTAAAAACACGCAAAACGCAACTGACCGTCATGGTGAACTGAAGGAGCAAGGTTGTGATTCAATCAGACCTGCTGTCGATTTACTGTCTTGGTTGCATGGTAAATACATTTTACATGATACCACACTGTGGTACAGGTATCGGTGACGATCTACCTTTAATAGGGACCTTACGCACATACGACCACGACGGCGAGGACGACGGCGAGGACGACGCCCAGTAAAATTGTTTCTATTTTACTTTGGAAATTCACATTTATTTGGAACTATCCGGTGTGTCTGTCGGTATTAAAACTTGCCCCTGCTGAATATGCTACGAATGCGTTCAGTTCCAAAAAGAAATACAAAAAATTAGCCGTTGTGGTTCACGTTCTCCAGACAACGCAGAATTTGGTCATTTCACGTGACTGTTTTGCAGAGGACAGCAAAGAAATGCACCAAGAATTATAATGCGCCTGCACAGGCAGTGTTTTGCTCATTAACCAAAAATATATGAATTCCTTCATTGAGCCAAATTTTGCTCGTTAGAAGCTGAGAATGCTCACTTGGACAGAATTATGGAGAAAAAGAAAGTTTTGGAGAAAATTTGTGCTTTTCTTTAAACCTTTTGTTTGGTGACGTTCTCGTTGCCGTTGCCGTCATGTTTTGCGTAAGGTCCCTAACATGTAAAACGATCTGACCGCTGTACAGTGTGCAAGCGAACGCACTTTTCGGTGCACTTTTGGGTCTTTTAGTGCACCGTCTTTTATTTCACCGGCACACTAGTAGTCTACTAGTGCACCGCACAGGCGCACTAGTTTTTAAATTTCTTTCCGTACACCGGTACACCATTGCACCGCACCGCACCGGTGCACTAGTGCACTGCACCGGTGCACTTTCAGTGCACCAGTGCACCGCGACTGAAAGGTGTTAGGCTCCAGAAAAATCATACCTCGTGTTCGTACCGTGCGTATTTCAGTCGCCCAGTCATGGGTAAAACTACAGCTGAGAGGTTACGTGAATCGCTTGGAGATGAAGAAACAAAAGAAAAAAGAAAGAAATGCAAGATTCTACGAAAAGAACAAAGAGAAAGTTCTAAAAGAGAGAAAAGAACAGCGAAGGAGAAAGAGACCTCGTGTCGCTCTAGAAGAACAAAGCGAAGGTAAATTACCAATACCAAATTGGCGGCTTTACAAAGCTCGTGAAAGTGCCAGAAAAAAGCAAGGAAAAGAGAAGACATCATCCAAGAACGGAGCTGTTTCACCAAACGACCTCCGAGGAGTATTTGCCATCAGAACAGGACGAAACCGAGCTCTCAAACACACGAAGAACAGTCTTATGCCTAGCAGTTCGCGAAAAAAAGTTGTCGTCAATGCTTCTCTAGTCACAAGCCCCTCTACACGGCATTTACAATAACGACTTGGATATGTTAACTCGCCTGAAGAAGATTAAATTTTGTTTGAGACAATCACTGCTATCCTTTATACCCTTTCTGCGCAAGTGATTACCCACGAACGTCCGTGGGGGAGGAAGATTGCGTGACGAGCGTCTGCGTAGGTGCGTACATTAGGGACATTAGAACAAATCAAGGCAGTGCGATCATTAGGTAGATACAAGGAACAAAAGCAGTCCCTTTCCACAGACATAATCCTTATTGCTTCTTTAATTAAACTATTTACAATAAGATTTTTTTTCCCGCTATTTGTTACTAGTATGTTTCACAAGAATGTCTTCATGGTATTTGCCTTTGTATTTTTGGAGCTGGAACAAAATTCAATCTTTGCCGCAAGTCATTTATCGGTTTCTCAAAATGTTTCTCGAAGTAAACATTCATAAAGAACTTGGATTGATATCCACAGTATACAGCCCAAGGGATGTAATATTTCCGCAGATTGGCCCGCTCTCTGTAAATAGATAAACAACAGAAAAAACGCTATTAACAGCAGATACTTATACTGTAGTCTTCTAAGCCACGACTGACTTAAAATGATACCCATTTTCCTTAGCAGCCAGCATAGAAGGGATGTTATTATAAAATTTCAATTTTCAATTTTCAGACAAAGAAGGGTAATCCCATATAAAAAAGACGGCGGTGCTCGTGGAAAGATCCTGTTTTGTAGGCGTGGCTTGAAATGTTTTCTCCCCTAAGAGGTACTAATTCTTACATAAGACACAATCTCCTGTCATATCTTTTCAGCTAACACCCTCAGAGGAACTGCAAAAGCTCTCGCTGTGAACCTTTTGACGCTAAGCACCTTAAGAGCTACCAAAACCACGTTTTTAACCCCTGAAAGGTACAACCAGCACCCCGGTCATTTTTATACAGGAGTTCTCCCCCCCCCCCTCCCCCAGGCAGAATCTATACCATCAGCCCTCCCCAAAGAGTCGTTGAAGCAAAACCAGAGCTACTGTAACTCGTCAATTTCCAAAAAATCTTCAAAAACTGGTGAGCAATATCAATACTTGGCAATCATGAAGAGAATATTCATGAACAAATCACTTGATGATGTTTGTTTGTTGTGATTGGAGAGATCTGTTTACCATATGATACGACTTGGTAATATTATTTTGAAACACCAAGTGTACTCAAAACAGCACAGACAAACAAAAAAATAACAACTTGACTGTCTAGTAGCTTACCGTGATGTTAACCTGATAGGTGCAACAAATGAGCTCAATGCACACATTGGGAGTCCTGTTTGAACCATTTCATACCACTTGACAGCTATTTCATGAGGAACACTGATGACGAGATACAGAAACCATTCACATACAGTATGGGTTATTTGACCAAGCGCGAGGCCAAGATGACTCCATAAATAAAGGTGTTATTTATATGAATAAAGAACACAATTTTTTGCAGGAAATAGTGGTAATCCCACGTGGACTAGCCTGTGTAGCTGGCCAGATTTTGCCCAAGTGGTTTTTTTGGCAGTGGAAATGTGGACACTATGGAAATGATCAGAGAGTAATTTTCAGTAGTGGCAAAATCTCACCAACTACACAGGCTAGTGCTTGCCAGTTGGATATCTGATCATAGCACAGGATTTGGTTTGTCTTTCCCCCTTGTAGAGCTAGTCTTGTCGTGATAATTATTAATTTGTAGGGTGGGTTCTGGTTTGGCTTGTCAAAGTTAAAACATCCATAAATATGGTAAATGTGCATCTATTGTGCCACAGTGAGCTCATTCACACATCTGGCATTATGAAAGGTAGATACTCCATATAAATTATTATTTGATCACAATAAATTGCTATTTGTGAAGAGATTCAAACCTGATTGAGAGACCAGCAAGAGTGTGAACAAAGTCATGAACTTCTCGATATCTTTGCATAACATATGCAAGGTCTTTGTCATCAACAAACTTCACCTGAGTCCGAGAACACACAAAATACTATTAACCGATTGGCTGAGAACTGAATCAAATTAGCTGCAAAGGACTGTATTTTTTTATGTATCATTTGTGTAATACAAGATCTCATTCAGGGGTCAATTATAAAATATTAAATCATACATCCTAGCATATCGTACATTTCAAGCATTTCAAGTTCACACTTATTTTCCTATAGTATAACTTATAACCACAGAAAAATGCTTTCTCTTTCTTGAATGAATGAAATGCATAAATATACAATTTTCCTTTTTTTTCATATCTTAATTCTCACAATTCACTAATATTCCTCCATAGTTCATTACTTCTTATTTACAATGAATTAATTTATTCAATAACATTTATTCATTCATAATAATTTCTACCTCAATATTTGTAATATGTAATATTGTGAGATATAGTTCATACCATTTATTATATTAGGCAAGAGCATTAGATCTCTCTTAGTTAGACTGCATCTCTTACCTCATCTCTACCATCAGGTGTAAGTCTCTTTTTCAGTAAATGTTCCGTAAATAAAAAGAAACAAAGCAAGATTAGGATTTTCTCAAATTTATATTAAAAAATACAATACTAGGCCTGCTTCTAAATCAACCTACTACATCAATACCATCAAAACAAACTATGGCAAATTCAACATTCGCTTTGCAGCTGTAAAAGTTTGAATAACCCTGAGGAAAGCATTAAACACCTCCCCCTTAAAACGTTGAAAAACAAAGTCAAGCTAAACATCTTACAGTCTTACTGTTCATGAGTTTTCAACTGGCATTTGTTTATTTTATTTATTTATTTATTTTTATTTATTTATTTATTTCTTCTTTTCGTCTCTTTTTTATTGACTAATTAATTACTTTCACCAAGCTTTAGTGCCAACCTACCTCCTGTACTTAAACATTACTTAGTTTTACTCAGCTCGATTAGCTTTATAGTTATCCTGAGTAAACATTACCTCTTTTTTGTATTAACATATTATATTGTAAAGTTTAACTTTTTTTTCTATTTGGTAATAAAGCTTCTTGTTGTTGTTGTTGTTAAAAAAATAAGTTGTTCAGTAACATAATGCTTTCTGCCTGGGTACAATAACATACTCAATAAAGTATCTATGGACTGTCAGTGCCAGATAAATTACACATATTTTTTTAGCAATAACTATGTTGGAATTCAAGATTTTAAACCGAGTTGTAATTTTTAAATAAAATTACCACTTAAAAGGTTTGATGGTAAATGAGAAACAAACTTACATGAAGGTCCATCCCTCTGACGTATTCTCGTCCAAACAATCCATCTGGAAGTTGTCGGAGTTTGTCAAAGTCAATTAAGGATGAATTAATGCGAGGACGTTCTCTAATACAAAAAGTGCAAAATGATTAACAGGTAAAATAAGGAATACTGTATACATAAAACAAACTAGGTTTATATTGGAAGCCACAGACATGCCATGCACCAAAAATAATTACATTGATTTTATTAATCATACATTTGTGTTAAAATTAAATGACTTGTGTAAGACCAGCTTCATCATTTAATGATAAATATTTTTTAAAATCACATGGCATAAATTTGCACTTACTGCAATATTTCTTGTCCAGCTGGATCTTGCATCATTCTATGGTGCATATTTTTAAGTGCAAGAAGTCCTGTTGTTTCTCCAACTGTTGCCACCATGTCTGCAATATTGAATTTAAACATTCATGAACATTAGAATAAAAGATTCCTTTGCAACTGCCTAATTTATATACACTTGTAATGATCGTATTCTATTCTTTTTAAAATCTCCCTTAATTACTTTAAAGTCCACATGGAGCTACAGATTGTTTGATATAATGTGGTCAGATCAAAGCCTCAAGCTTATGTGACAAGACTTGAAGGTAGCAAACATAGTAGTAAAGAGCTGCTGCATGCACTGAATACTAATGAGAAACAATTACTGGGAAGAAATGATTTCATGTATTTTCTTTTCCTTCAGACATGTGGAAACATTGGCTGCACTTATTTATTTTACAAGAATTATCAAACTCAAAGCCAAGAAACAATGAAAGAAAAGCTGCAGAAAATGGTTCATTTGAAGAAAAACAAATGTAATTAAACCCTGCTGTTTCCAGCTCTCACGGGAAAATGAAAAAAAAGTTCTACATAGCACGCAGGCATTAGAAGAAAAGGGCCATACAAGAATGAATAAAAATTTACCAAAAAATTTATCAATATCATGGGGTACGATATTCTCTTAGCAGAAGACAACACCAAGGGATGTATGTCAGTTGAATGTCAAATGCCTGATGGTAATTTCTCACTGTGGAAACTACCGGTATAGATTGATGTTAGTTAAGTGATAGCTCTACCTGCTCTTGTTGGATCATACAATGCCATAAAGGCAGAGCCTGCTGTTAGTAACACCTTTTGCATCTTAGAAGTAGGGACATGGGATTCATAGAGTTGATGTGCTCCTTGTACATGACTGGCCTCTTCATCTTGCCAAGACAGGGTTCTATCGCTACTAGAATCCTCCAACTCTAATCCTTACAGAAGAACAACAGATTCTTTGGATAAGAATACAGTGAAGGGCCCCCTGTTAAGCAGACACCCTCTATTAATTGGACACCAGCTTGAGTCCCTAACAATGTTAGTCTCTGTTTCTGTTAAGTTCCTGGTTGTATTGATACATGTTAATTTATTAATTTATGGTAAAATAAGCATTTCATGACAAAACATGTTGCACCCTCCCCCCTTCCCCCCCCCCCAAAAATAATAAAACAAGTGTCACATTACACCTCTAACTCCCAATAAAGGTCACCTTTCTACAACAGCAACTTTCCTCTGTCCCCAAGGTGGCCGTTGTGGAGAGGTTTGACTGTACTAGTTATGTAACACTGTTTAATGGTATGAGTGAAATATCCCACAAGTCATTTGAATTTTTTCAGTATACACACAAGCCTTGAGAGAGCGAGAGAGCGGCGTTGCATAACTATTTCATCCCGTGCCATAGAAAATACAGTGGCCAACACACTCAATGGGACATACGCGTGGCGCATGATGGGAAGGTTGATTGTAATACAGTCGAAAACATAACTGCCCTCTTGTATTCTGATTGGCTGTATTTTTTGTGGCATAGTACAATTAAAAATTACTAAAAGGCATTAAGATCTAAGAGGTATTAAGGGCACACTGCCAGCGTGCGAAGGAGAGCGGGCCCGGGGGGAGAACTCCCATATGGAATGGATGGGGATGCCTGTCAGAAATTTTGAATTTAACCCCTAAAAGAGACCAATCTGGGCATGGCCGAAGCTTATGCAGACCCCTAAAAGAGACCAGTTTATAAAACAGGCAAATAAAAAGTACAGTGACTTTTAATGATGGCGAAGACCTTATCATGAAATACTTTTGCCTATAAGTAGTTTACAAAAGTATTGTCATAAGTCTTCATCTTAACCATTACACTCTTGTAAAACAATAGACAAAGACATTTTGTTACAGTGGACTTCAGATATTAATGGTATGGAAAACTTTGTTTATATGAATTGAGTAAATATAAAGAATCAAAATTCTTTCTGTTTTGTTATTTCTTCGCGTGCAACCCTTAACGAGACCTTGACGGCTAAAAATAATGACATTTTGCCCAGAAGACCCTAAACGAGACCAAAATCCGAAATTTCTACCCCTAAGCGAGACGACGAGCATCCCTGTCCATTCCACATGGGACTCCCCTCCCCGGGAGAGCGGGTCAGACTTCATAACATAAACCACGGTTTTTGGTCTCTCTTAATAAATTAATAATAATTATTATAGGCTTATGGAACTTACCTGCTGTCACAAAACGCTTTACCTTTGAGCGCCTGAACCATGGATTCAATAACAGTTTCAAAACACGGCGATTTCTTAATCCGACAGCCGCCATTTTTATTTTTAATTTCAGTCCCAGTTTTCCCTCTGTCAGAAGCGAGATCAAACTGTTTGGGGCAACCAAAACGTGACTACTTCATGTAACGCGTCGGAAAGCCTCCAACCTCGTGGAATCCAAACATGGCGGAGATCCCGCAGTTAGTGAAGGATGCAGTTCTAGCATCAAGCGAACTGATGCCTCCAGGATCCTCGGAAGTGAAAGGTTATGACTTCAGTAATGGAGTGGATTATCACGCATTGCTGGAGTCATACAGAACAACAGGATTTCAGGCCAGCAACTTTGGCAAAGCGGTAGAAGAAATCAACAAAATGGTAAGTAGCCAGCAAGGAGCATATATTTAGCGTGAAGGCTGAGTTTGGTCAAGCTTAACGAAGTATATTACTCTGAGTCGGTATTTTTGTGAGTTGTATAAAACAAGAGTGGCATGGATTACTGGTCATAACAGGGAACAAGTGAGAGGGGGTCGCAAGGGTGGATGGACGGAGGGTTGGGGGAGGGCGAAGAGTTAAGAAAATAAATATTTATAAAAGACCGAGGTTTAGCTGCATCTATCAAAGGGTACACTTAAAAACTCACTTTTTGTCGGTAGACCTGTGTTCAGGATATCTCCTTATTCCTAGGAGCCTGAAAGGTGCCTTTTTGTGATTATTGAGTAGGTTTTGGGAAGCAAATTGCAGTTATATAAAATTAGAACACAGTCCTAAGCAAATACATGCACTGATTGGTTAAAAATTGTGTTTCTATAACTTGATAGAAACACAGAACCAGGACGAAAAATTGCTGTAACTATGGTGCAAGCAAACGAAATTTACATTTTGATAATCAAAGTTGACAAGTTTTCCTTTTTCTCATTGCGCTGTTTTCTAAAAGAAATAGAAAACATGTTCGCTGTGTTTCTTTTGAGTTATAGAAACACTTGTGAAAGTTTGGGAGAACTCGGAAAAGCTGTGGTAATACTTGACTGTGGCTCATGTTCCCACAGCATTTCTTGTTCTCCCAAACTTCCACTCATAATTCTATGACTCGATAGAAACACAGTACATGTTTTTTATTTCTTAAATGTAGTTGTATTCTTCCATAGTGAAGTTCATGCAGGTATTTGAGCTAATATCAGACGAAATATCTACTGGTGAGTTGTACACACCTTAATGAGACTTGTTAGACTTCAACTTACGAATCAAGGACTGGTTGTCCATAACTGACCAGTAGCATTACACTTATCACCATTGTGGCCATATGTGACTACTGGTACAAAGTGAGAAAGGATGATGACACAAAATATTCTAAAACATAATCCATATTAACTGTACTATTCAGACTTGCCTATTGCCAGTCAACCCCTGAATCTTGGAATAGTGCATTGCAAAATCATCATTTGGCTCTGTACGTTGTAATCTCATAAGCTAATGTGGTTTTTTTTTTGTTACCACTGGAAAATCATCATTTGGCTTTGTACGTAGTAATCTCATAAGTTAATGTGTTTTTTTTGTTACCATTTAGATTAAAAAGAAGTTAGAGCCTCTTCCAGAACCTGAAGATGGTACTGTAAATAGTAATTACCTTGATCCTGGTCAGCGACCAATCGACAATTGTACAATATTCTTAGGATTTACTTCTAACATGATTTCAAGTGGTGTAAGAGAGACAATAAAATACCTGGTAAAGAATAACATGGTAGGTAAGCAAATCTTTGCTGTTTGATTTAGTTAAGGTGGGTCTCTATAGTTTTATGATCACACGCGTGCTACCCAGGGATGAAAGCTTAAGTAATCTGTTTTTCGTTATTTTATAACGCAAGGTTTGTACAGGTCATGGAAAACCTGGAAAGTCATGGAATTTGTTCTTTCAATTTCCAGGCCTTGAAAGTCATGGAATTTAAGTGAAGGTCATGGAAAGTCATGGAAAAGCAATATGCTTGGCAAAAAGATATTTTAAAAATTGAAAAAATAACAGACAAGTCAGAAACAGGCTTTAATTTCAGTATAAATAGACACAAGCACACATTTTATGAATTATAATGTTGGAAAATACGTTAAATAAATGATTGTTTTGATATTGCTGTGAGAACAACTGCTTAACTTTGGTCATGGAAAAGGTCATGGCTAGTCATGGAATTTTAAAAGCTTCAAAGAGAATGAACCCTGTAACATCAACATAAGCACAAAAGGCAAAACTGACAGTGAATTTTCTCGTGTTTCCTTCATTGAAATTCCGTAAAATTTGGCAGACTGATGATAAATATTTACTTTAGTTGGAGTTCATTTTTCAGGAAAATCTATCTGACCAGTTTTTCAGAAGTGGTAAAAGACATAAATTTGCAAATAATGGAAAAACTGCCTTCACAAAGCCACTTTATTTGTGTTTAAAATTTGTTTCCCACCAGATTCATCATACTGTGAGAATTTTGGAAGATTTCACCGAAGAACATTCAAGAAAATCACAAATGAAGACATAAAAACAGTAAAAAAATGCATATATTTGGGCATTTATAATACTAGACTAAATCCCAAAATTTTACAAATCATCATAAGATTGCTTATTACATTTGATAAGTTTGAAAGGACTGGGTGTAAAAACAAATGCAAAAACGACAGTCAAAACATAACACTAGTGTGTGCAACGCAATAAATAATTAGCCCATGGAGCCACCTTAAGTCATAATTGTATAATCCTTCTGACCTAAGACATTTTTCCAGTATAAATCAGGAATTAGATGAATGTAATTTAATTATTATAAATGTTAACTTAAAGGATACTTACAAGTAGAGTTGTTTGTAATATGGTAAGCTAATGTCTCTTGCTTTCTACATCCAACGCAGGTTGTCTCTAAGAGTATGCAGAATTTACTTTTTAATAAGTCTGCACATTGAAGTCCATACAATGTAATTGTCACCTCCTTCCCTAACAGATAAGAGTCAGTTGAAAGTGATGTTAGATGCTGTGTACTACAATCATTGTGTGTCTGTTGGAATTGGTGGATTAAAAGGGGAAAATGTCCCCCAGTATATGTATAGGTTAATTCCAGAATCAGGTTTTGTCCTGAGGTCTAAAATGAGTACATGTATACTTTTGAGGTGTGGCTTCCTTCTAATAATAATGCAAATGTTATCAATTGAATCTTGCAGGTTGATTGTATAGCCACCACAGCTGGCGGCATTGAAGAAGACCTGATGAAATGTATGGCTCCTTCTTATATTGGTGATTTTTCATTACGTGGTGCTGAACTGAGAAAAAAGGGAATCAACAGAATTGGCAACTTGCTTGTACCAAACAATAATTACTGTCAGTTAGAAGAGTGGATTCTGCCTGTGTGGGATAAGATGTTGGAAGAACAAAAAACACAAGTATAAAAAATCCTTGATCTTGTTCATTATAAATTTAACAATAATTTGTAGTTTAGCCTGAAGCTCAAAATGAAGTTGTAAGGATTTGATGGTACACCGACATAATATCCTACAGTTTAAGTAGATTATTTACTGGGCTTTGTCAATATCCTTTAGTAATAATCATGGATAAAACAGTTCTAAGTGATATGCACTACGATAGCTTATTTCAACTATATCTCCTTCATAAACTCAATTTGTAAAATAAGTCTTTAAAGAGTATGTACACACTGAGCAGCTTTTTGTGGCTATTTTTGGTACACCTAAAAATGGTATTTCACAAAAGTGACTAAGAATAGACTACTGTAAGTGTCCATAGTGGTTGTTGAAGATCTGTCTCATTTTCTTTTAGAACTGCAATTTGCCTTTGCTATCTGTTGACTACTGAATCATCATGATGGATCTATTGTGTGAAATCTTTTGCCTGACTTTCGTTTTGTCTGGTGAAAGATAGTAAGAGTTTCCCAGATGACAACAATAGCAAATATGCATATGCAAAATGGTTAGGAAGGGCCCTTTAATACATATAACCATCACAAAATTCATTTTGCCATCACTTGTAAGTGAAAGAAAGCAATACAAAGTGGCACATCTTACTCAACGCTACTAACTGTCCCCAACAACACACTCTTGGTTATTACATAATATGAAACATTGCAAATCAAGTTTACTTTGGCAGTCTTAAGTGTTCAAGAATATTTTGTAGAGTAAGTAGCGTAACAGGATCAGCAGGGAACCTGAAGGCCATAATAAGGCCTTATGTGTCCCATGGCACAACAAGGTCTGATGATGTTGAAAGCCATAATGCATATTTTCTTTTAATGTTAGGGAATAAAGTGGACCCCATCTCAAGTTATTGCAAGGCTTGGAAAAGAAATAAATCACCCAGACTCAGTTTGGTACTGGGCTTACAAGGTATGTTTTATGACCTTTAAAGCTAATCAATAACAATATTATTTAGTATTTCAAACCTTCAGTAAATAAATTTAAATGTGGTAATGTTTTAGCAAACAGTGGCATGACCATTGTATTCATCATTATCATTGTGTTTATCTTTGTTATTGTCATCATCATCATTGTTGTCATCATCACCATCACCATCATCATCATGAATTCATTTCCCTCCCGCTCATCCTCCAGCTCCTTTGTGTCGTTTATTTCCCTTCGCTTAGTTCCAGGAATAACTCACACTCGTCACCTTCCCTGCTGTGTAGATCACTCTTTCAGTTGTAACAGGCAACTCTTTTATCTTCTTGTAGGTTGTCATCCGGAACTGTTTTTCTATAATTTCAGGCCCTTATGCCTTCCTAGAAAGGTTAACATAACCAGCTTTATTGAAGAACTGCTTCCAATTTCTCAACAGAATAACATTCCAGTGTTCAGCCCAGCCCTTACTGATGGTGCATTAGGGGATACCTTATACTTTCATTCGTACAAGAATCCTGGCTTAGTAATTGATATTGTAGAAGGTGAATACTTAGTAAGGTATCAACTTTAACTTGATATTGAAGGTGATTTAACACCATAGAGTGTGTGTGAAGCTGCCATTTCAAGTTTCTTCGTAATTTGAAGCTCAGGTTTGCTCTGACAATGTGGGGGTGAGGTTATATCACGTGGGTGGGTGGGTCGTGGGTGGTTGAGTCATAGATCATGGGTCATGCATATTTTTGCATTATGGGTCACGTGTCATGCATAATGCGTCATGCATAATCTGTCATGGGTTGTGTATTGTGGGTTGTGTGTGAAAATAAAGCAAGATTTTATTATAATGGTTCAAATGGTCCATATGATGAAAAGTCTATTATTTTGTTCCTGATGGCTTAATACAGGATTGACCATCTAGAGGAAAGTTATTTTTATAAAGAAGCTCAGTTCAAATAATTTTGTCTGCCTGTGAAAACCAATTGCTCCCCTGCTGAGAGTGTTGTTGAAACCCCTGCAAGGCTGCATGCAATTAGAATGTGTTGTTCCAGAAAATATCCATATCCCTCTAATGGAGGGTCTTCGGGCCTGAACCCTTCCCCCCCCCCTGTTCCATTCTTTTCTTTGAAAATGTTGGCTTTTGAGACCCCCTAAAGTCCACTTTGCGATTTCCAATAACCCTCCATGTGGCAGGCTTGATTTCTGCCACTCTCTTGGATCCCGTTACTAAAGTTTGGGGAGAGGAGCATTTTGCCAAACAGCAGCTGGTAATGCAAACCCATCCTTTGGGTGGACAGGGATATTTCCTGGAAACGCACACTATGTTTGAATGGTAAAGACTGGTTAGTTTTTGCTGCAAAGATAAATGGCGTGCAATATAGGCAATATGAAAGGAAATGTGGACTTGGAATCAGAGATTGAATAACCGTTCAACTATTGTTTTATTTCAGATATTAGGAAAATGAACAATATCTCAGTATATGCAAAAAATACAGGAATGATAATTATTGGAGGAGGTCTCATAAAACATCATATTTGTAATGCTAACTTAATGGTAAGTGCTGGCTTCTTTAAATTAAGGTTTAAAACAATGCAGTTTTTATGTGTTTGTTCCTCTAACTCAATGTGATTATAACCAATAAGGTACAACAAAAGAAATCGCAACAGTACTGTGACTTTGGTTTAATGGATATCAATTTTTTTCTTTGGATATCAATTCTCGATTTTCCCTTTTAGTTTCGGTTTTGATTGACACTCATTCTAGAAATGGTCAATGAGGGCCCAGTTGGCCCCCCTCTGTAATTTAAGGGGGCCCAAGAAAGGAGGGTCACGAAAAGATATTTGAACTTCTTTGCACAGTCTGTTCAGTGAAAAAGTACGTTGACGAATTACGTTGAAGAATGCCTAAGTATAACTTACATTTCTGGTGATAATTGAGTATAATTGTGTAGTTGTTTCTGTGTAGAGAGTTGTTACGTTGTGTAAATATTTTGTAATTGTTGGGTTTTTTGTCTTTCACAGCGTAATGGTGCAGACTTCTCTGTGTTTGTGAACACTGGGCAGGAATTTGACGGCAGCGACTCGGGAGCCAGACCGGATGAGGCCGTGTCGTGGGGAAAAATCAAAATCACTGCTTCTCCAGTAAAGGTAAAGAACGTGAGAACTTGGAAAAGTTTCTTTGCAACATCTGGTGGCCGAAAAACTGTAAGGAAGTAAGGTTTCTCATGAAAGTTTACGGGAATTGGAGGGAATGATAACTGTTTCGCCCCATGGCGAGTTCGCCCCCAACTTTTAGTGTTGGTGTTTACGTAGTTGTTATCGAGTTATCAAACGTTTTTGAAGAACCATTTCAGTCTACGTATGTTTGATAAACTTAGATGATGATTGTTCGAAGTCAAACGGTTACCGGTCATCTCGCCACCAAGCGAAGTCACCTCGCCACCAAGCGAAATTTTCTCGCCACCAGTACTCTGATAAGGGGAGGCAGTGGATTAAAGAACGAGGAATAATCTCTATATGCGACTCGATCTGGCTGGGGGCGAACTCGATCAAGTTGAGTCGATGTGGGGGCGAACTCGCCATGGGGCGAAACCGGCAGCTACCGTTTACGGGGACTACAATCGTGGGATTATTTACAATGTAAGCATTGAAACATTGTAACATTTCCCAACCCTCATTTCTTCGTTTTCCAGCGTTTAAGTTTAAATCTTTGAAATTTGGACTGGGCGAAAGGAATATTGTTCTTGATTGGGGGTTATGGACATAACTCAGATGGATCTTTATCAAACGAATGACACTTCTGAAAAGTAGTTATCGTTTGAACAATACAAACTTGCTTCTCACATAGTCTGCAAATCTGGAAAAAAGAAATTTCGTTGTTAAGTTTTCCAGACATGGAAAAATTATGCACTGTGGAAAATTAATGTCGAGGAGAAGTGGGAAATTTTATCCGACAGGCAAACGTGGTAGCTCATATTCACAATGCGCTAATTCCGTGAAAAAAAGAGATCACAAGTGTATTTAATGTAATAAAAAAGAATACAATTTAAATAAAAGAACAATTTTAAATTAAAAACTGAGACACCGCCAAGCAAATCTAAATCAATTCATTTTTTAAGACGCAAACCTAAAACCACCATAGAATTAATATCACGGTAAAAAAAGAGGCAAGGTTTTCAACTGAAATGGCCTGGCGCACGCTACTGGTGTACACGGCTAAAAATCACACCTAATTTGGCTCTTGTGAACTTTTTTAAAATCAGATCACGTTGATATTTGGCAAGAAGTTGAAGTTTGTGAATATCTTCCCACTGAAAAGGTTTGGGTCTGCGTATATGGTTGAATAAAAGAGAGTATTTTAAAAAAAGTCGTCTAAAACGGGGCCAGTTTGATCGCTTCGCGTAACATTTGAAGTCTTACTAGGCACATTTTAGGATCTCGAAGTTGTGCCTAAAGATATGCGTAAAGTGTTCAAAGACTGTGCCTAAATTGTGCCAAATCGTGCTTAATCGTGGCAAAGTTGTGTGTTAAAGAGCTCTTAAAGGATTCTTTAAACTAACCTGTGTGAGGCCTATACTACAATCTTTGTTATGCGATATAATAAATATATAAACAATAGCCTCCATTTGGCGCAAAAATATGCTAAGATATTTGTCCGCGGACATGATCTGTTCCGAGAAGCTCACAGTTTTCCTCGAGCTACGCTCTCGGAAAACTGTTCGCTTCTCGGAACAGA